GCGCTCGGATAAAAAGAACATTCGGATAGTTTTTATATAATTTATCATCCGAAAAAAAATTATTAGATCAAATGAGAAATTGTATACAAAGAGTAAATAAAAGCACCTGGTCTATCGAATTCAATGAAATGTGCATGAAAGAAGGATTTCTGCCTAAATACACACACACACACAGATATATATATATATATATATATATATATATATATATATATATATATATATATATATATATATATTTTTATAAGCATTTATCTATGTTCATAAGAATTTAACTATCTCAGTCGGTTTATATCTATTTATCCTGCTAGCTATATGTCTGTACGTCATATCTATCTATCTATCTATCTATCTATCTATCTATCTTTTCATTTGGAATGCCACTGGTACGCAGAGGGTTACACAGAGTGAAAGTGAGAAAAAGAATGGGAATTGTGGGAAGGATAAAAGATGAACGGGGTTCAAGACAACAGATGGCGATTGACGATGGGTTTAATATTTTGAAGATTGTCGCAAGTAAACGGAATGGAACTCCACATGCGGGAAGTGCGAGAAAATAAACTGTTGGAGTAGAAGTGACGGATGCATTTAACTATTTCAACAGGAAAAGGGTGGGACCTAGATGCCAATCTAGCAGCGCGCTTAAATTCAGGTAGTCGGGGTACCAGGGAAAAAATCTCGTCTGTGCAGATGCCATGAAAATATTTGTAGAAAAGACAGAGGAGAGCCACATCGTGTCTGTGAGAAAGTGACTGAAGTCGCGATGCCAAGTCAGGGATCGATTACATTACATATCCTTCTTTGGATTTGGTCAAGAACCACGAAATGAATAACAGGAGCACCAGACCAGATATGGTAACAATATTCAATGCACGGGCGAATGGAAGATTTCAAAATATGCAAGATAAATATTTGGCACGACACAGTGAACCAACTTTCCGTGCAGTAGATGCAGCTATTGATTCAATGACCTTGTTCCACTTGGATGTCAGGAAAATGCATTCCTCTCCAGGAATCGACGATCTGCCATGCTGATGGTGGGCAGGGCAGTTTCTCTAAGGTGGTTAAATGAGGGCAGTTTAGTTTTGGAGGCATGAAAATTTACAAACCATTTCTTGCCCCAGTTAACCACTGATTGCACGTCCTTTTTAAAACCAGCAGTCAGGTTAACTTTGTCAGCTCCGACGGATTTGCTATTCAGGTAGGCTTAAATGTTCATGCCATCTTCATAAATGCCTACTTAGGAACTGATGACATCAGGAAGATCATTGATGAAGATCAGAAATTGCGTAGGTCACAGGATAGAGCCTTATGGGACACCCGCGTTCGTGTGAAAGGATCTGGAAACGAGGCCGTTCAGAACGACCTACATTTCATGATTTGATCGGCTGGATTAAATCAAATAATCGTCCTGTAATACCAAACCTTACGTAGAAGACCAGCATGCTAAAACGTGTCAGATACCTTTGAGATATCTAGAGCCACCGCTCGAGATTCTCTATCACATTATCAAGAGCTTTATAAATATAAATATATATATATATAGTGAAGGTCGTAAGCACGTCACCGGTAGACGGGGCAAGACGGAAGCCATATCAGAAAATCCAGACCAAGAATGATATTTGAATTACTACCACGCAAAAAAAAAAAAAAATTATAATATGTGGAAATATGTACTTTTGGCTTGAAGAAGGTCGTGAAACCAGAAACCCGTGCAGCAGAATTATAGAAAATAGCGTATAATATATATTTTAAAATAAAAAATCCACATTTCAACCAAAAATCGTTTGCGGTTTATCTTCTTTTTAACATATATATATATATATATATATATATATATATATATATATATATATAAAAAAAGAAGACAAATTTCTAGGTCTGTTGAATTGGATCGTATTTACGATTCCAATGGAATTAATTATGACCATAGAATATTAGTGTTTAAGCCTTTTTATTATATCCTTACTCTGTCCTGGACATTGAGTTCTACCTGGATTCTACCCTCTTGGAATTTTTTATTCAAAAAATATACATGTATGGGTATTTATATATTTTGCATATGTATGTATATTTACCACTAATATTATCTATCTATCTATCTCTCTCTCTCTCTCTCTCTCTCTCTCTATATATATATATATATATATATATATATATATATATATATATATATATATATAGTACAGGTAATAACTTCGTTGGTATATAATCCAAGTGGATCCTAATAATATAAAATATTAAAACCGCTTTAGAAAAAGAGATCAATGTATTTATTATAACAGAGCATATAAATTACATCACAGAGAAATCCCAAATCATGAGTATAGACTATTTCAACTAACGCCGAATGCGTCAGCCTTATTCAACTCAGACGGTGGACGGTATTCATTGTCGGGACTAGAGATTTAAAATTTAATATTTAACAAAGAAAGCGGTTGAAAAACTGATACAGAACCAACCCGTAACACTTATTTCCATTTGAGACAGATAACTTCCGCCCTCCCCTTATCACCACTCGGGCAGATTGTCCTGTGTGCTGTGTCGGGGTTAGTTGAAATAGTCTATACTCATCAGTTAATTTTGAATTTTTCTGTTATGTAATTGTTGAAACTTGACTAATGCATGGAATAATAATGCAACTCAAAATGTACTTAGAACAAAATGTATTGAAACAAGAAAGTGTACACAATATTTACATATAGTCTTTTGTATATTCCTGGTAAGACCGTTCCTGGAGAATATGTTGACTTAGTCGCAGTCAGGCAGAATTATCATTGAACTTTTTAATGGTCGGTATCCATTATGCAAATTAGGTGGATCCTTAAATATTATTGCTAATATTTAAATCTATCTATCTATCTGCTGTGCAAAGTGATCAACAGTTTGAGTTTTAATTTAAAAATAGTGTTCTGTAGTTTATTTATTTTATGTTTACCAAGAACCATAGCATATTCCCCCACTAAAAAAGGTTTTCCTATTGTGATGGAAGTGCATTTTCCAATCAAGATCCTTTTTACAAATAAACAGAGCTAATTAATTGCTGCTCAATAGACATTTTTATGGATTTTAAGCCTTTTATATATATATATATATATATATAAAATATTTAAGTAAATGCATATATATATATAGGCCTAATGTCCGAGAGAATTTTCGGAGAGAGAATAGATGAAAAGAGGCATTCAGACAGAGAATGTTACAGAGATATAACAGAGTTGTCAGGACCGGAGAAAAGGGATCCAGTTTCTCTTAAATCAGATATCCGGGATGAATAAAAGATTTGGCTAGATGCAATGTAATAGACTATGCCGATCAGATTCAGATCTGGCGATTATCCAGATGGTGATTCAAAAGATTATATATAATATATTTATATATATATATATGTATATAAGAAAATATGAATTCGATGGATATAGATGAATCCTGAGATCAATATTAATTCAGATGAATAAATTAATTTCAAATATAATGGACCATTGGCTCCATTGTAATATAGATAAAGACTTTAATTTTTCTAGATGCAATTTAATAGAAACGAAAAATGACGAAATATGATATATAAGATGACATAGAGATGAATAGATAATGAATGAATATTTTTATATTTCGTTTTAATGATACTGAGTTGAGAGATATGATTAAGGATCAGAATTGACCTATTTAATCGGATAAATTAATATATATATATATATATATATATATATATATATGAGATATGAATAGATAAACACTTCAGTCCCTTATTTAGCTAGATGCAATTTAATTCCCTTTCCCTAGTTTGAACTATGATAGATAGATATTCATTACGATAGATAGATATGTAGATATTTAAGATAATTGTCAGATGAATAGATTTCGATAGATATAATGAATATGAAATGAGTGAGAGAGATAGATAAAGATTTAGCTAGATGCAATGTAATTTTACTACGATAGATAGATAGATGAATATTTATATTTATTTTTCAATGAGTTCATGGAGATAATGAATGAATGAGATAGATGAGATCTATGGAATCCCTTGAATGAATCTAAATACACCCGAATGTGTCTATATATAATAAATGATAAAATATTTTTTATTTACCCTAAAGCTGTAACAACATATCATATTAGATGCAATGTAATAGACTATGATAGATTTATTTTGATAGATTTTTTTTTTTTTTTTTTACGATAGAATTTGGAAATGGAAAAATAGATGAATGAAAAATAAAATAGTTGTTTGTTACGGAAAGTGAGACCTAATGGTGTATTTAAATGAGAGATAGATCATTGATTTTTATGAATGGATATTGATTTCTGTAAGATTTAGCTAGATGCAATACCTCATAGACTATGATAGTCAAGATCCTTATAGATAGATAGATATATATAATAGGTATATATATATATATATATATATAATGGTGATAGATAGATAGATAGATATGATAGATTGATAATAACTATGATACAATAGATAATAATGATAGATGAATATTTAAAGATATAGATGGGTATGATAGATAGATAGACATTTTGTTCTCTTCTGTTCCATCCCCGCTTTGGATAGATATGAGCGGTAGATGATCTAGAAGGAGGGAAGAGAGAGAGAGATATATTGATGGGAAGAGAGCAACAGATAGATAGATGAAAATAATATTTGGATTCTGTGTAAATACAGATATAGTTGAATGGATGAAACGATGTATTGAACTGGCATTTTTCAGAGAACCCAAATTCTCCATTAAATTGTTGTGCAAATGACAATTTAAGCAAGCGGCCCAGGGTCGGCCAGCGGGTCTTAATCCCGTGTATATTAGCTGAGATAGCATCTCCGGTCGTTTCACCTTGGTCAGCAGCCAAGAGACGAGAATCTGTGTAGGTCGTATCCATCCCTGTTTCCTCCGCCCTCAAAGACAGTCTGCTTTATCGACCGTTTTCGCCAATCGGATAAATAGGTAGAGAGATAGAATCTATCGATCAGCTTGACTGATTACTTCAGTTAGATCATGAGACAACAAACTCCCGACCAGCCGTCGAAGCAAAATGCCCGGATGGATGCTGATGTCTTATTTGCAAGAAGTCAGTTCATCTAATTACAAGTCATAGAAGTTTTTTTTTTTTTTTTTCTCTTTTTTTTCTTTCATTGTTTGTTTATTTCTGTTTGTCTTTCTTTCGTATTGTTTTCTTTATTTTTTTCTTTTTTCTTTCTTTCTTTCTTTGTTTTTTGTCCCTAATCTTCCGGTTTTTGGGTTGTTTTCTTTTTTTAAATCAGCATTTTTTCACTCTTTCACTATTTCTATATTTCTTTACCTCTGTTAATTCGGCTTGTTAAGCTTTCATTCTCTTTCTACGCGTGTCTTTCTTTCTCTCTTTCTTTCTCTCTATTTTTTCTCTCTTTCTCCCCTTTTCTTTTCTCACTTTTCTTTTTTTCCTTTTTTTCTTTTTTCCCACTCTTTTTTTTTTTTTCTTTTTTTCTTTCTTTCTTTCAAAATTCTTTTGTCTTTCTTTAATTTCTTTTCTTTCATTATTCTTTCTTCATTTTACATTTCTTTTTTTTCTTTCTTTCTTTCTTTTTCCTTTCATAATTTTTTTTTTTTTCTTTCTTTCTTTCATTCACTTTCTTTCTTTTTCTTTTTTCTCTCTTTCTTTCTTTTTTTTTTCAATATTTTTTTGCTTTCTTTTTTTTTTTTTTTCTATATTTTGTTTTCATTCAGTTTTCTTTTCACATTTTCTTTCATTCTCTCTTTCTTTCATTATTCTTTTTCTTTCTTTCCGTTTTCTTTCTTTCTTTCTTTCTTTTTTCTTTCTTTCTTTTTTTCTTTCTTTTTCTTTCTTATTCTCTCTCTTTCTTTCTTCCCATTCTTTTGTTTTTCTTTTTTTTAATTCTTCTTCCTTTCTTTCTTTTTTTCATTAATATCATTTTGTCTTTCTTTCTTTTTTCGCATTTTTTCTTTCTTTTTCTTTTCTTTTCTTTTTTTTCTTTCTTTCTTTCCTTCTTTTCTTTCTTTTCTTTCATTATTCTTTCTTTTTTTTTTTTCTTTCTCTTTTCTTTCATTATTTTTTTTTTTTTTTCTTTTTTTCTTTCTTTTATTCTTTCTTTCTTTTTTCTTTCATTATTCTTTGTTCTTTCTTTTTCTTTCTTTCTTTCTTTCTTTCTTTCATTATTCTTTGTTCTTTCTTTTTCTTTCTTTCTTTCTTTCATTATTCTTTGTTCTTTCTTTTTCTTTCTTTCTTTCTTTCATTATTCTTTGTTCTTTCTTTTTCTTTCTTTCTCTCTTTCTTTCATTATTCTTTGTTCTTTCTTTTTCTTTCTCTCTTTCTTTCATTATTCTTTGTTCTTTCTTTTTCTTTCTTTCTTTCTTTCTTTCATTATTCTTTGTTCTTTCTTTTTCTTTCTTTCTTTCTTTCTTTCTTTTTCTTTCTTTCTTTTTCTTTCTTTCATTCTTTGTTCTTTCTTTTTTTCTTTCTTTCTCTTTCTTTCATTATTCTTTGTTCTTTTCTTTCTTTTCTCTTTCTTTCTTTCTTTCTTTATTCTTTGTTCTTTCTTTTCTTTCTTTCTTTCTTTCTTTCATTTTCTTTTGTTCTTTCTTTTTTATTCTTTCTTTTTTTTTCTTTCATTATTCTTTGTTTTCTTTCTTTTTCTTTCTTTTTCTTTCTTTCTTTCTTTCATTATTCTTTGTTCTTTCTTTTTCTTTCTTTCTTTCTTTCTTTCATTATTCTTTGTTCTTTCTTTTTCTTTCTTTCTTTCTTTCTTTCATTATTCTTTGTTCTTTCTTTTTCTTTCTCTCTTTCTTTCATTATTCTTTGTTCTTTCTTTTTCTTTCTTTCTTTCTTTCTTTCATTATTCTTTGTTCTTTCTTTTTCTTTCTTTCTCTCTTTCTTTCATTATTCTTTGTTCTTTCTTTTTCTTTCTTTCTTTCTTTCTTTCTTTCATTATTCTTTGTTCTTTCTTTTTCTTTCTTTCTCTCTTTCTTTCATTATTCTTTGTTCTTTCTTTTTCTTTCTTTCTTTCTTTCTTTCATTATTCTTTGTTCTTTCTTTTTCTTTCTTTCTTTCTTTCATTATTCTTTGTTCTTTCTTTTTCTTTCTCTCTTTCTTTCATTATTCTTTGTTCTTTCTTTTTCTTTCTTTCTTTCTTTCTTTCATTCTTTCTTTTGTTTCTTTCTTTTTCTTTCTTTCTTTCTTTCTTTTCTTTCTTTCTTTTTCTTTTTCTTTCTTTCTTCTTTTTTCTTTCTTTTCTTTTCTCTCTTTCTTTCATTATTCTTTGTTCTTTCTTTTCTTTTTTTTTTCTTTCTTTCTTTCTTTCTTTCTTCTTTTTTTTTCTTTTTTCATTTTCTTTCTCTTTTCTTTCTTTCTTTCATTATTCTTTGTTCTTTCTTTTTTTTCTTTCTCTTTCTTTCTTTCTTTCATTTTCTTTTTGTTCTTTCTTTTTTCTTTCTTTCTTTTTCTTTTTTTCATTATTCTTTGTTCTTTCTTTTTTTCTTTTTTCTTTCTCTTTTCTTTCATTATTCTTTGTTCTTTCTT